GCAATAGCAAGGGCGAACAAGAATGGCAGCACCATCTACAGAGGACGACGACTGGTTGCGCGACCTCCATCCAGGCCTTCCCACGATCCCCAAGCCACAGGTGGAAATAGCTGTGATGCCACCGGCACAATTGCGCTTGGGCTGCGTAACTTGGAACTGCGATGGTCTCACGCAAGAGGTCTTGGCGCAGCTGCTGCACTGGCTGGGCACAAGGCCGGAGATTCAAATCGCGTTTCTGCAAGAAACACACTGGGGATTCGATGGCGACTGGACGCAAGGGAAATGGCATTTCTGCCATAGCGCGGCTGAGCGCAGACGCACGGGAGGAGTACTGGTGGCGCTGCGGGCCGACGTTTTCCCAAAAGAGCAAATACGCTGGCAGACGGTGGAGCCAGGACGGATACTGCACGTACGCTGCTTCTCCAACAAGCAGCACCTGGACCTGATATGCTTCTATCAGCATGCACTGCCGTTCGGGGGTGAGCAGCAAAAGGAGATCATGACTAAACGTCAGCACGTCTGGAAGAAGCTGGACGCCCTCCTTGGATCTCAGCCTACGCGATCTTCGGTGATGCTGGCGGGAGACTTCAATTGTGTCCTTCCTGCAATGGCACCGTGTATTGGCTTTGGGGTTCATAAGGGTCCTTCTGCTGCGCACCTTGTTGAGGAAAGAAACCACGTTGCTAGCATTCTGCGTAAGCATGATTTGTGCGTTCTGAATAGCTGGGGAAAAAAGCACTGGACCTATAGCCATCCCAACGGTCAAAGTCAAATAGATTACATAGCGGTGCGTCGTTGCCTGGCAGATGGCAAAGCAAAGCGAGCCACAGTCCTGAACACGCCGCTGGCAGGCTGGCGCACAAGTGGACACAAACCCGTGCAGGCCACTGTCAAATTGGACTGGAGACCGTGGAAAAACAGTAGGATCCAGAGCACTCCCGAGCCGATCGTAGCCAGACAAGCCCAGCACCCTGGTTTACAATGCCTTAAGAAAGAGCTCTTGGCCCGTAGTAATCCCGTCGCCTCCCCCAAAAACCTGCGTTGGCAAATGTGGATGGACCCGTCAAGCAGTTCTGGCAGTGTCATGCCGCGTTGGCGAGGGCCAAAGCTCGGGCGCTGCCAAACCGGCTCACGTTTGCCTTGATCTTCGAGCGCCTAAGACTACACAGCCGTATGCAGGCAGCACGCAAGGCCCTACAGAGAGCGTCAAGAGCCAGAAAGCGACAGCAACAGCTGGATATCCTGCAGATAGCAGAGCAAGCGGCGAGATGTGGGAATAGCAAGGAGCTGTTTCGATGCGTTAGATGGTTAGCGCCTAGGCAGCACAAGCAAAGCATTAGGCTTAGGGATGCGCAAGGCAATCTCATGTCCCCCGGCCAAGAATGCGCGGCCCTATAGCGGAGCACGCGGAAGCATTGTTCCAAGGTGAGCCGTTTCAACAGCTGCCTCAAGAACCACTGCCGATGGAAATGTTTAGCCAGGAGAGGTGGGGTTACGCGCTTCGGAGAATTCAGGCTAATAAGGCTGTTCCGGTTGCGGAGCCCTCGGGGCTCCTCTGGAAGGAGGACTTGGCCGCCATGGCGCCCAGGCTATCATATCTAGCATCGCGCAGGCAAGCCTCTGTGGCTCAGAGCCGGTAGTTCCTCTGGAATGGTCGACTGTTCAATTGGCGTGGCTCCCAAAGCCGATGAAGACCCCCTCCTGCCCGAAAAACTTAAGGAGTATCGGCCTTATGCTCGTAGATGCCAAAGCATTCTTGATGATCCTTAAGCAAGAGGTTGAGCCATACATCAATCAAGCAGTCAATTACTGCCCACAATACGCGTATCGGCCACAGGCAGGCACTGCGGACGCGCTGTTGCGCGCAAGCCACCACTGTCAGGAGGTCCGAGCGCTAGTGGCTAAGCATCATCAAGACTACACGGCCAAGATAATAGGACATCAAGCTCCTGCGGTCACGGGTGGTATGATGTGTAATCTTGACTTGGCCAAAGCTTTTGATACGGTTCCTCACCTTGAGCTTTTCAGGTCTATGATTGAAATTGGTATCCCGGAACCATTGGCCTGTCTCATACTGCGTGTGCGTGTGCAATCGGTGTGCATCATCCTTCACGGGAACAAACGTCGCAGTGTGAAGATGAGTAGAGGATTGAGACAAGGATGTCCGCTGGCGCCAACATTGTACGTCTGCTTCACTATCAGGCTTTGCCGGAAGCTGACCCAGCAGTTGGGCAGCGGCTGGGCACAGGCGCACCTCACAACCTTCGCTGACGATACTCATGGTTTTTGGGCGTTGCGTAATGTTTCTGATTTTCAGCGTGCACGCACGGAGCTCAAAGCCATCATCGATGCTCTCCAGTCCATGGGAATGACCATCAACTTCACAAAGTCCATGGTTGTGATATGTTGTGATCCTGTTGCGGGGTAAAGCGGCGCCAGGACTCTACAAGCGCTTCTTCAGACTTCGGCGAGGCACCCAGAACCTCAGGCTTGCATCCGCAGACTCTGAAGATGTTTACCTGTTTACCTCCCATGCACCAACACGCTGGAGTATCTAGAATCTAGGCGCAATCTTGGCATACGACAACTTTGAGGGACGAACGGTCCAACACAGAGCTGACAAGGCCGAGAAGACCTACAATCAGCTACGCAAAGTCCTGCGCAGCAACGGGGCGCTGACCGCGCCCTACCGGCTACGCATTTACAATGCCATTGTTGTGAGCTCCCTCCTCTATGGTCTAGTCAGCGTTGGCATCACGGCTGAGGTTGTGCGGAAGGTCTCATCCGACATCGCGGGGCACTTGCGCAAGGTACTCAGAATCTATGAGCACGGGGTTGCAAATGAAGAAGTTCTTCGTCGGGCAGGTCTCTCACCAACTGCCATTCTCAGTCAGCGTGCACACAGGCTACGCAAACATATACTCCAAGATCAAGGGCGAGCTGCTGGCCTCAGGCGCATTGAGCTTGCACGGATACAGACCATCCTTGTACAACTTGAAGTACTGATAGCGAAGCCTCCAGGTCTTACTCTTCAACACGTCTCCAAGGCTGAAATCTGCGCCGTCAGTTGTCCAGTATGTGGCCTAGAGTATGGCACGGTCGAAGGCCTTTCGATGCGTCTACATCGACGACATCCGGAGGTTCAGGAGGACTCCAGGCTAGCACTGGACCGACAGCAGCATGCTTTGTTTGGGGTTCCTATCTGTCGGTTTTGTCATGTTCGGGCCTGTGACTGGAGTGCTCTACGCAAACACATAGAAGATGGGCACTGTCGCTGGATCCAAAACAAAATTGCGGCAGGTTGCACCAAAGCAGAGCTACTTGCCACTACTTGCACTTGTCGAGCAAGAGGAAGCCCGGGCGCCACCGAAGCCTCCAGATGATGCACTGGCTGATTCTGCACTTCAGGTTGCCAGGGATCTGCTTGGTTCTCCAAACGACAAGCTGGTGCAGATTGGCCCTCAGCTGCGTGGTTTGGCACAGCAGTGCTTACTCTGCGCACAAAGAGTCCAATACTCGGCCAGGATCAAACCGCACTGGCAAGCGCAACATGCAGGCGCATGGCAGCACTGTCAGCAGAGCGCTAAGAGCGAATCGGCGAGCTTGGTTGCCCTCTTCGTCAAGCCTTGCAGGTTTTGCGGGAGTCAGGCCAAGAATACCAGGGAGCACGCCTCTCAATGCCCAGCGCTCTTTCAATTTTTAGCAGGAAGACACCTGCAACGAGGTGGCAACACGCTTCAGGAAGCAGCGCAGACGACGTTCTCGGCGCCACAGGCACGCAAGTCCACAGCTCCCAAGCAGAAACTCATAGCAGATATGTTCGGCAGCTCGAGATCCTCAGAGAAATCCAAAAGCGTCGTCCCCTTGGATAACAAGAATGCGGTTGTTGTTCAGCCTCCACCAGACATCCCACCGCCACCCGCTCCCAGGTCGAGTGCAAGCGAAAATGAGTCTCCGGAGAGGTGGATACTCAGCCTTGTCCTCAGCAACCCCCACAACCACTGCTACGCCAATGCTGGCATGCTGGCATTGTTTGCGGCCTTGCGCACTACTCCTGCGTATCCTGGCTCTCTACAGGTCCTCAAGCAGACGGCCCAGAATGCTGCGGTGAATGGCAGGCCCTTAACTTTGTGTAAGCAGTTTGTCCTTCGCAGCTTGCTACGTCAGTGGCGATTTGGTCCAGAACAACAGGACACCATTGAATTCATCACATTGTTGCTGCAGGCAGCCAGGGTTGAGGTGGGCAGATGGGAGTCACGCATAGACAGCCACAGCTCCGTTGAGGTGTATATGCGGGGAGCTGGTCCCATCGCCTTGCCGGCGCTGGGGACAGTTGGTAATCTTCAGGAGGCCTTCCAAGCTTGGCATCAGCAGGGCTCACTTCATGCACTTTGCAATCGCCCTGCCATTCTACTTGTGTACTTGGCTAGGTATGTGGGAGATGGCAAGTCGTTCACAGAGGTTATCTTTCATGAAGAGGTCAAGGTGCCAGTCTTTACACAGGACATGCAGGTTGAATGGGATGCGTACCAGCCTGTCTCGGCAGTTCTTCACTTCGGCGCCACGCCCGCGGCCGGCCACTATCGCTCGCTCCTCAGGATTCAAGAGCGTTGGTACTTTACGCAAGATGGAGTTGCAGCAAAGCCGCAGGGCCTCTTGCGTCGTCACAGGAAAAATGTCTATGCAATTTGGCTCCAGCGCAAAGCCAGAGCCGATCCCGAACCTTCCGCAGCATCCAGTCAATGATGAACGCGCTTGACTCGCCTGAAGAGCTGGCCATGTACCAGGCCTTTCGTCCCAACTTGGGTCCCGCGCGGGGCTCGCACAACGGCAGAAAGGAAAGCACCAAGGACTCTGAGGACAGGTCTAAAAAGCCTCGAGTGTCGCCTGGGTGGGGCGGACAGAAGAGGCAGTGGCAACCGGCTCAACAGCAGCAATGGAGTGGATGGGAAGCTGAGTCAAGGGAAGACTTAGCTGCCGAGGCTGCTAGGCTCAAGGCCTGCATAGCGCTTGGCCTTGCGCCACGAAGACAGCATCAATATCGGCAAGATCGAGGTCAGCTGGGT